AGACCAGACTTGGAAAAGTACATCATGCTTGGAAAAATGGAGGGTTAGTGTAGAGGAAGACCTCCAATTGGATGGACTGACAAACTGACTGCAGCAGTGGACTTGGGCATGAATGATGGAGATTAGCAAGATGGCGCAAGGCTCGGCAGCATTTAAACGGACTGTCAGAAGAAAGAACATGCCTATCCTGATGACAGTGCAGCCTGACTGCATCTTAGAAGCCGAGGACATGCTCCCAGGAGGGACCAGTCCCCGTGGAAGGATGTAGGCATGGAAAAGGAGATGACCGTGAGATGGACAAGGGCTCAAACATAGCAGTGATTGTCAGGATGTCAGGATGAGGCTGGACTTTATGGTAACAGAGTCACTGTGAGTCAGAAGCATCTCAAAGGCACTGAACAAAGGTGACCACAAAAATGGTGACATTTTAACCAGAGGCAGCTTTTGCAAATATTTCTGTGCTCGATCTTCATTTCCTTGACCAGTGACTTTTTTCTGTTCCTGACTTTCCCTGTCTTGACCTTCCCATTGCAGGCTACTTAGCAAACAGTCTAGGATTTTTCAACAATAAAGAATACTTTAAATAATTATGCATTATTTAAAATCTCTCCTTTTACTTTATAGGCAAGAGTAGTGAACAGTAACAATAATGTTGTCATAGATCTTAACCTACTAAAATGTTTGCTGGCCTTGAGCTTCTACTCTGTGCCATTTGAAAACTCCGTTTTTAGGTACTTTTCTTTCTCAATCATCTGCTTCACTTCTTGCTCAAAGTTCAATATCTATTCATAATTTCTTCCCTATTAGGTTGGTCATTCCTGATACGCAATGGATGTGTCTCACAGTGCACGTTTGCCAGGGCGATGTTATTATTTACCTTTGAGTCAGAACTGACCCGTAGTTGACCCTCCAGCAGGTTTTCAGAGGCTGTAGATCACATGGGACGAGGTTGCCCATCCCTCTCTTGGGGAGCACCTGGTGGATTCGAACCAGGTGACTTTAGGATTGCACTGCCACTTAGCCACCAGAGCTCCAACCTTTGCCATGTTTGTGATGTAGAGCACCACATTGTGTTCTGAAATCAGGCCTTATGTATTCTGATACTTTGAAACAGCAAATTTCCTGAAACTTGTCACAGAGAGGCAGGGGAAAGCAAGTGAAAGTGGCTGATGCTGACTCTTTTTTGAAAGGGTCACCTTATAAGGAGAGATGGCGTCTATAGAAGCGGAGGACTGATAGGGAATGATGGCCTCTCTAGAGAGTTGAGCCCATGACCTTAACAGAAGCCTCCATTTCTCCTGTCGTCTGGGATCCCTGCTGGCTCCTTGGCTCTTCACCTTGCTGCAGGTTTCTGGACCTGTAAGGGACCTGCTCTTATGCCTTCTGGGTGAAGGATTGCTTTTACATTGTAAATCAGACCACCTTGTTTACCCGCCCTTGTTGGTGGAAGCAGCCAAGTTGCCTTTGACTCGTGGAGATCCTGGGTACCACGGACCAGAACCCGGTGCAATGCTGCGCCTTCCTCACAACCTCTCCTGTGCGTATGCTCATTGTTGCGGTCATGGTGACAATCAATCCATCTCGGCCTCTTCTTCTCACTGATCCTCCACTTTTCAAAGATTGTCTTCTGGAGAGATGCCGCTTCCTGATAATATGCTTAACATATTGCCGCAAATGATGGCAAACGTGTTTCTAAAGACGGTTGACAATTTAAAAGGTGTGCACCAATGTATTAAAGTGTATGAGAGCGTGTCCTACCATCCTTCTCTCGAGGACCTCTCTTGGATTCTTGCCTTCCAACACAGATTGTTCTTTCTTTGGACAGTCCAAGGCTGCAAACCTGTGTGCAAGCAGAACGTCAGCCTTTGAATTAGCATCTGAGTGCTTTAATCACAGTGCCACAAAGATTCCCATTGTAACTAGAATCTAATAGCCATGGAGTCAGAAGCGACTCTGAACTGACCCTCCAGCACCAAGGCTGGGGATCTTACAGGGAGAGATGACCCACTATTTTCCTCAGAGCTGTTGGTGGATTCAAACGTCCAGGGAGGCGCAGCCCCACTAGAGCTCCCTAACTGAGTCGCCGGAATCACCTCCCAGCAACTGAACACGCGCTGAGGTCTGTCCTAGCCTGGGGACAGGTAGGGGAGAGCACTCATCCACTGTGTACCCAGCCAGGAGCGGAAAGGAGAGGGAGGCCATGTGTGTGTCTGCTTCAAATCCCTCCCAGTGGCCTCACAGCTTTGTCTCTGCCTCAGATGTTTGCTTTTGCTGTTTATCTTTCCTCCTGGATCAAGCGAGAAATACTTTAAACCTGTGGGGATTAGAGTAACCTTTTTAAAGTGAAATGATAGCAACCAGCTCAGCTTTAAACTGGCAGGAATTAGTCCTTCAGTCTTGTCGGTATTTATCAGCACATAGGATAATTGGAAGTTGTCTGATGTGACAATTTTGGGAGGCGTCAGGGAGGCTGAACTTCTTGCATAACAGGGCAGAGGAGGCCTGACAGAGGCATTGCACCTGCGGGCTGGCCCAGGTATACGGTGGCTCACTCCCTTCTGCCTTCCCCAGAGCCTGGTTGGGACCCTGCCCGGTCCCTGATGCCATGTCTGTCCTGAAGCACTGTAGAGAACAGACAAGGAGGTTGGCATTCACTCACAAGACAAGAGGGACTCAGTCCGACTTCAGACTGGGCTGCTTAGGACTCTGCAAAGACAGGTCGACCTGACTGTTTGGTTCCAGGACATTCAGACCCCTTGGGGTTTCTAAGAGTGGGGAATAAAAGCTTGTGTCTTCATCTCTTCATCTTGTTCTGACATCCACTTTACCTGAATTTAAGCCTTGGGCTTTCTCTCCTTTGTTCATGGAATTAGAGATTTGAGGGATGGTCCCTGTGTGCACCACCTACTCCCTCCTCTTCAGTCTCTAATTACAACACAATTCACTGCCAGAGAGCGAGACTCACGGCCGACCCCAGCGAATTCTCAAGAGTCTGTGAATCACATGGGAGGGGATTGCCCATCGTTCTGCTGTGGAGCAGCTGGTAGATTCAAACTTCCTGCTTTCGACTAGGCAGCCCCAGTCTTCACCCCCTAGGCTACCATGAGCTGCCTACTTGTAATTCCATCCTTGCCAGGGTGACAGGTTAAGAAGTGTTCTTGAAGCCTTTCTCTGATGTGACTCAGTAAAGTCCCTGCTCCTTTGCACTTGCTGGGATGTATACATTCTTTTTGGACATCTGAGCTCTTGTTAAGGAATGCTCAGGACCACTCTTTGGGGTAGGCTCTCATGCTTGGCTGGGCTGAGAGACAGTGCAGGAGACCCTGGATGAGGTGAATTGACGCAATAACTGAGGAAATGAGTATAGGTGTGTCAGAGACAGTGAGCGCAGCTCAAGGATAGAGCAAAGTTCTGGGCTGTTAAGCATTGGGTCGCTGTGAGTCATAGTTGACTCAACAGCACATCATAACAGCAACAACATTGCCACTGAGTCAGGATCAATGCATAGCTGACACTTCACTGGGTTTTTCTGAGGCTGTAAATCACATGCGAGGAGATTGCACATCTTTCTTGCCCAGGACCACTGGTGGATTTGAACCACAGAAGTGCCACCTTTGGGCTAGTGGAACAGTTTCTTTCAGACTGTGCCCCCAGAGCAGCCTGCTAGTTTATTGCATCATGGAAATCCAGTTCTCTCTTGTCCAGTGTTTTAGTCTTCATGCACCTTCACTTTTCCCTCGGAGCCTTTTCTCTTATGAAGATCCTCTCATTCGGTAGTTAGATTTCTCATCCCCCATTCAGGACGCCTGGGTTCAGTGTCCAGTCATGCACATCATGGACAGCCCCACACACATGTCAGTATAGCTCATGTATTGCTATGGTGCTAACCCGGTGGGACTCAGTGGAACTTTTACACTAAACAAAGGAAGAAAGACCTGACAACTTGGTACAGAGAATTTGCCACAGAAAACCTTTGGAATCACAGTCCTCCAGTCCCATTGTGCTATATGGTCACCAGGAGTCGGAGGCTAAGGACCAACAGCTAACAGTGTGTCTCTGTTACCTCCTATGGGAAGCAAGTCAGTTGAACAGAACCAAAAGCCCAGCACCTCCTTCTCTTGGGTCCAGATGCACTTGTGCAGAAGGGTTTTGCTTTGATTATCTCTGGGCGTCTTACTCATTTGTGGGCCTTCAACTTGGTGGACAAGTATCTGTGCCTTTCCACTGAAAGCTAACTGTGACGTCGGTAGCTGGACACCTGGATAACATATTTGAACCATGTACGTGTTCAGTATTTATGTTATAGAACATTGTGATACAGGAGGAAAAGAGGAAGTGAAATCCTACCCTTCGGTTTGGTTGTTTGCTAACATCCCTAACTCAGGGGTTGCCCTCAGAGGGACCAGTCACTCTTGGGATCTTCAGATCTGTTTTTGTTTTGACTCTTCTTCCTCTTCCTTGACGTGTTTGGACATTTACTTGATATTAATGTTCATTTTAATATCAGTAGTTGGTGTGAGGTGCCATTGAGTCAACTATGATTTATTGCGACTCAACCACAGATCTGAACCTGACCTTGTCCTGCGTTGACCCCACAACCTCTGCGATGCCTCTCAGAAGCCTCTCGTGCTATTCACTGTGTCAGTCCACCTTGTGGGGAGTCTTCTTTTTCTCTGAGCCTTCACTTTTCAAGCCATTTGTAAATGTCTCAAAGCTGTCTCTATTTAAGTGTGAAAGATACAGAAGAGATGAAATGAGTTAAAATGATCTTTTCCTGGGATTTTAAGGGAAAACCCAAACGATTCTTTACCCAGTAAGAAAATGTATGTGTGGAGTGGTTGGCCAGTTCTTACCATAATTTCAAAATTGGATTCTCTCAATTATCAATTAGATTGCTTCCCTATAATTAGTCTCTGCTAAGTGATTTATCTAGTATGCAGATGAGTAGAGAGAAAGCTCATTTCTTTGAAGACTGAAATGCCTGCTTGTGCTTGTTACAGGAAAACCACACAGCACTGGGAGCTCAGAGCGGATTCAACTCTCAGGAATGTATAACGTCCGGAAAGGCAAGATGCAGTTGCCAGTGAACCGATGGACACGGCGCCAAGTCATCCTGTGTGGGACCTGCCTGATCGTCTCCTCTGTGAAAGACAGTGTGACCGGGAAGATGCATGTGCTGCCCCTGATTGGTGGAAAGGTAGGAGGATTCATATACTGCCCCGGGTTGGTAGAAAGGCAGGAAGATGCATGTGCTGCCCCCTGACTGGGAGAAGGGTATATTGAAAACCAGCAGCATGCTGGCTTTCTGCTCTATTGGGCTTCATGTGAATGGTTTCCCAGCACATGAAGCTTTCTTTGGAGATGGGTAAATGGCTGTTGACTCATCCATGGGGCTTTGTCCAGCTCCTGTTTTGTGCTCCTCTAGAGAGAGCACCATTGACTGCTCTGTGGAGGGGTGGTTGTTGGTGACGAC